AGCTAATGATAAATTATCTGGATATATAATTGAAATGCAGTGTTTAATTAGTAATAATCCTCTCTAAAACAAAAATTATTTATTATTATATATACATTGATTTTATTAAAAACCTATATGTTAATTCAACATTTCCACATGCATAGAACCAAAAATTGAATTTGAAAAAGGAATTTACTTTTTTTTTTATGTGAATGAAATTAAAATTAATGGCAGAAATACTTTCTAAAATTTGTGAAAGTTCTTTTTCATAGCCAAGTTTTTTCGAATAAACCATTTCGGATATCTTATCACATAATTTTTCAAAAACCTCTACATTATTGTTATTATTTACAGTTTTCATATCGGCCATTTTGCACATTATATCAAAGGTTAAAATACCAACTCAAGAAAATATAAAAAGGATTAAGAGTCTGCGCAGAAATTTTTAATTAAGTTGTCAGCTTGAAGTTGGAAAAAATTTTCAAGTTACCCATTGAATTAGTCAGTTAAAATCGTAAGATTGGGAGGTTACTATATTTACGGAATGTTTATTTTATTTTTTAATTATAAGAATCGTTTACCATGATGACAGCCTATGTGAAATATTTTATTAGAGTTTATGATCAAAAGTGAAATATCGTTATTTTTAAATTAAAAAAAAAAATATGGCTCATAAAATGCGTTAAAAGGAAAAGGGTCTAGTTGAGTGTGAGTGGTTTTTTTAGTTTTTCTTGTTTGGTGTTGTGTGAACGAAACATACCTATGCAAAATGGCGGATTTAGAGGCCGTGCTCGCAGATGTGAGCTATTTAATGGCCATGGAAAAAAGCAAATGTACACCAGCCGCGAGAGCGAGCAAAAAAATATTACTGCCGGATCCCAGGTAAATAGATCCGTTTACGTTATGGTTCCTCAATATATTCCCCTTCACCCCTCTACTTGATGCTCTATATTTTTGTTGAAAGATGAAATTATCATCTTTCGTTTATACAACACTACAATTTGTCATTTAATTTACTTTTTTAACTACTCAAAATATTATTACATTTTAATTTGGAGTATGAATAAGAAATACAATTATTTATTTCATTTTTGGAAAATATAGTTTCTTCTTATTTAAGAAAAATTTTCTTCACATCTTTATATAATTTATTAAAAAAATTATTTTTATAATAAGCAAAATGAAAATTAATTCAACATTTTCATGATTTTTAATGTTTGAAAAACAATTTTAATTTCCAAGTTACACTTAATTCAAAAAAATAAATTTTATAAAAAAATTGAAATGAACAAGAATATTAAAAAAATTTTTTTCTCAATTTGTGTAAATTTTTTCTCTCTATTAATTTGTTTGTATTATTGAAATCGTTTATTAGTTTAAAAATTTAGTAAATAAAAAAGAGTTTTTTCTATTTATGACACTTGTGAATTATGAGATTTTAATTATAGGCTACATACAATAAACTATTTTTATTTGTAATATTAAAATTTTTTTTTTTAAACTTCACACACATTATACATGACTCATGTTTTAAATTAGTATAAAGACCCTATTTAAACAGGTTTTTGTTTAATAATTATTGTCATTAATTTTCTTTTTTTTTAAAAAAAACAAAAACACAAATTTTGTCGTTTAACATTTTGTTAAAAATATTTTGAGTAAAAAAAATGTCATTTTATTAGTATAACCTCAATATTGAAAATTAAATTCTCTTTTAATACAATTATCATTTAAAAGGAGGGGGGAGGGGGGGGAAAAAGGAAAAAAAATAAATAAAGAAAATTTTATATCATTGGAGAAACTATTCGTTTTTAATTTTCTTAATTATCAAATTTTCTAAATCGTTTATACTTAATTTTGGTTTAAGACATAACAGAGCAATATTTTGTTTGTTTATTTTAATTTTAACTCACCAAATTCACCAATTAAAAAAACTTTAATTGATATTTTAAAATGGAATTAATTCGAATAAATTTTTTTTGTTATCATTTTATTTTCCAATTGAAATCCAGCCGAAAAAAAAAAGAAAAAAAATTAGTACAAACAACTTTAGTGTCAGTTAGACATTATTTAATTCTTTCACATTACCCATTAATTAATATCATTATTAATTTTAAATAATATTATGGTTAAACCAAAGTTTTTCAATTTAAAAACAAAAAGAGAAAATTTAACATAAACTTTTTGGTTAATGAAAATAAAACTAAGAAATTATTGTTAACAAAATATTTATTTAAAAAATAATTATAAATTCAGGTTATAATGGTAAACAACTTTTTTTTTTTTTTTTTTTTTTTTTGTTTCTCTGTTGAAACAACTTGTAATGTTCTATTTTTATTCGTTCGTCAATATTCGAAAATTGATAATGTCTGTAAGAGATACATTTTTTGTTACTTTTCTTGTAAAATTCAATTTGTTTATTATTTTTCCTTTTATTCTTAAATGAAAGATTTCAAGAATTTTTTTTTTTTTTTTTTTTTTAAGAACAATAATAAATTTTTTTTTTAAATGACACAGTCAATGGATGAGAATGGGTAAATTTTTTTATATATTTTTATGTAATCCTGTTCTATTATTTAACCTTTAAAAAAAAAACTCATGACCAAAATGACTTTAAACGTTTTTTTTTTTTTATTCTCTTAATTCAAAAGAAAAGAAGAATGTTGTTGTTGTTGTTAAATATTGTATTAACAACAAACAAACAAACAAATTCTTTTTTTTTTAATTTCGTTTAGCAAACATGACATCTTATTAAATAATAATAATATTAATAATTAAAACAATTTCTATTAAAAATAATAAAAAAAAGGTGAAATAATTAAAAGTAATAAAAATGTAATAAAAAAAAGAAAAAAAAAAGGCCTGAAAAAAAAAAAAAATTGTGTCCTCAACCTAAATAAATTTAAATGAGATTTTTTTTTTTTTTTAAATTAATGCACTTCAATAAATTAAAAAAAAAAAAAATTTTTTATTTTTTTTTTTCGATTACTTTTAAATTAAAATTGATTTTATTTTTATTTAGTGTACATTTTTTTTTGTTTTTTAAATATTAATTTATCGATTTATTATTATTATAATTTATTATTATTGATGTAATCATCAAAACAATCAATTAAAATTTATAAATATAAAAAAAAAAAATGTATAAAAGAGGAAAACTCATAAGGATTCATTTATTTATTTAATTTTTTATTTATTATTGTTTAAAATTTAAAAATTTGTTTTTAAATCGTGAATTTGATAAATTTTTTTTGTTAAAATAACTTTGTTTTATTTTTTCTACTGCGAGAGTATTATTTATATAAAAATGTTTATGAAAAAAAGTTAAAATTAATTTTATTTGAATCGAAGTCAGTCATAAGAAAATGAATAAAGTAAACAAGATAACCTATCATCGATGTAATTATACGAAAAAAAAAAAAGAAAGAGAAGATAGAAGAAAAAAGAAAAAAGAAAGAGAGAGAGAAGAGAAGAGAGATAAACATCACGTATAAAATTTAATTTTCTTAAATAATAATACTATTAAATTATATTATTTTATTAAAATAAAATGATAATAATATATATATATAAATTTTTAGAACTTCATTGATTTGATAAACACAAAAGTAATTTTATTTTAATGTCAACTTATGTATACATAATTTTTTGTTTAGGTGTTTATGTCTTAATTTATTTAAATATTAATTTTGAAAAATGCATAGGATGACGTTTCGTATAAGAAAATAAAATAATGACAAAAATATGACGATATGATATAACTAATATAGTATCAGTATGTTTTTATAAATCGTTACGTGAAATTATTTTTTAAAATTTTTCATTATTATTATTATTATTATTATTATTATTATTATTATTATTATTATTATTATTTAAAAAAAAAGAAAAGAATGAAAGAAGAGGTAAACGTTTGATTTTAACGATAAAACGTTATTATTATTATTAAAATTATTACAATTTATTCTCTTTTAAGTCTTTATAAGTATTTGAAATTAATAATAAATGTTTTCAGGCATTGCCCGAATGTATGTATGTTGCTGCATACGATTATTATTAATAATTGATTTGAATCGATTTCTCATTGACGAGTTAATTGAAGGGCAAATTTTCATTTTGAAATTCTTTTA